ATCCAACAGCACGTTTGACTCACGAACGTTATGCAAATGTCTTCCAGTTCATCGTTACGGTTTTTGCGATCTACATCTTTTCTGCTGTGGTTCAGTCACTTTGCTGTCGAAGTCACCCAGCTGCAACAGGCCGCTGTTTAAAAAAAGAGCTGGAAATTAGTTAGCGAGCACTGGACTGAGGTTCATCACGTATGAGGAGACACAAACTAGATGAAAGACAAACACTCATTAATGTTCCTCTGCGTCTGCTCGTCACATCGTGTCAACCTAAAAAGTCAGTTTTGTGTTTAAAGCAGGTTTCTGTTTTCTCAACTGCCCATAAATATCCGTCAAAGCTGGTCGAAGTTACGCTGGAAGATCTAATGGCCAACAAAGGAAGCGGCAGGAAAGATTAATTGGATACACAAACGGAAGTGGGAGAAAGAGAACGAGGCAAAGTAGAGAGAGTTTCAGGGATTGAGAGAGAGAGAGAGGAGTAAATGTAAAGAAGTCTTCAGAAGAGAGGGCTGATGTCAGGAAAGAAGGAGGAGTTGATGAAGGGCAGAAGGGAGGAGTAGGGAGATAGAGGAGGCAGTGTGTCAGGAACCAGGAGGGAGGAGGAGGAGGCGGCAGCAGAAGGTGGTGGTGTCGGCACGCGTGGCTCACTCCATCCCCACAGACGCTGCTGTAATCTGGGCCACACGTCTCACAGGCCTGCTGGTCGCCCAGAGGCCTGGCTGGGTGATTCATCTTAGTTAGGAGGCTGTCCAAGAGTCTCTCCATGGACTGCAACACATAACACAACACACACACAACACACACACACACACACACAGTGCCAGTGATTCTGGATAGAGAGATGGAAACTTGATTAGCAGCTCACACACACAACCACACACTTAAAATGCTAAAAACCTTGTGAGGACCTTCCAGTGGCAGCACCTGATTCCAAACCCGGTCCGCTCCGTTCTCCAAGTTTAATCCCACCGAAGCACCTCAAAGAGAAAAGTCACATCCACCACCTTGGCCTGATTTCTGCACGTGAACATCTTTCCTTGTTGCTCGTGTGGAGAAGCTGCAAACGTTAAGTTTGACAGCTGAGTCTTGACCTAGAAAATAAAAATCAGTTGACAGAAAAATAAAGGCTTGATGATATTTTTCTCTGTTAAGTGAGAAATAGTTTGGTCTAAAAATAGGCAGAAGCATTCATCACTCTTTCCTGGAGTGAGGTGACGTCCTCATTAGTTTCAATTTGTCTGATCAACGCTCAAAAATACAACGTTTACTAAAAACCACAGCACATCAACTTAATTTAATTTCAGGTTGTTGAGTTAATAGTTATAAAAAGTTCCAGAACAAATGAAAGAGTGAGATGATTCTAAGAGCGAAAAACAAATCATTAATTTAAGGCTCTTATTTAAAATGCTAATCTGGAAATGTCAACAACAATCATTTGTATTCTTACTCAGACTCTATTATAACTACACCTGCATCAACAGCAGCTCCAGCTTCCACCGGGAGTTAACAAATACAAAGAACATTTTCAATTAAGATTTTATTGCATCAACTTTTTTTTTCAGTTCCATTTTCATTTGTCTGGATATTTGGGGAACAACGGGGGTTTGTTTTACGGCCTGCGTAACGATTAGCCGCTCGTACTGTTCGCTCTGCTGTCGCCCTTTTTATCGAGGCCGCTCGGCTCCGACGTCCGAGTGATAACGTTGGTGAGAGCGATATTTCCGCTGTAGATTATTGATTACTCAAGATTTAGCTTCTTAAAACCCTGAAGTCTCTCCGTGAAGAAGCTTCTGGATCCGTCTGTAAGGTTTGATGCATTCCAGAGGATGAGGCCGACGCAGACTGCTCATAATCAGGTGGATCATTTTATTTTGAAAAGGTTTACATGCTCTAATGATCTACTGCCCGTTGCTGCAGCTCCTCTTTTCAGCCTCTGTCTCAAACACTTGGTTTTAGCTCCTGTCTCTTTAAGACAGCCCCCCCCCCCCCCCTGTTGTGATTGGTCAACTAATTTCAGCTTGACACTGTGATGTCACGTGACACAAAAATCTCCCATGACGCACCAGAGGAAATAAAAAACAAGAGAATTATATTACATCTCTTTTAATATTTTGGGTTTGATCACCGCTCAGGGGTTTTCACCGACGTCAGATTCGACTTCTACTGTTTCTGAAATTTAACTCTTTATTGTTCGCGAAGACAAAAGATGTTCTCCTGACAACGCCTGTGTTTTTCATGCTTCCCTGAGAGTTGACCTTGTCTCATTGTTGGTGAGAACCAGGTCTGTACCCTGAGGAAATAACGTACGAAAGTAAAAAGGCGTATTGACGTAACCCGCCTCACACAACAAAAGGTCCCACAAAGCCTCCAGAGAACTTTAACTCTAACTGGTGCTTTTACATGAACTTCTGATGACGGAGAAACTGGATTGTCTTCGTGAGAGGTTCGTCTAGAAACAGATTTTCTGTTCGATGTTGAAATAGTTTCTGCTCTCTCTTGTTTTCTTTGTTCTGAACCCAAACCTCTAATCCTAAATTTAGGGTTAACTCTAAACCCAAAAACAGCAATCCTGAAAATACCACACAAACACGACATGACCGGCTGAAATGTCTTGACTCTGTACCAACGCTATGTACACACACAAAGGAACCGGAGGGTTTAAGAAGACAAACAAACTCGCCGGTGGGTGAAGTTGCTCGTTGTTTGTAACTGAGACCTAGAAGGGTTCATTCTGCGGTTTGTCTCCGTCGCCCTTTCAGAGCCGATATTCCTCCACTCCTGCCTCTTTTCTTTTCGTTGGTATTTATTTTACTGGGAGTGAACTATTCCCCTCTAATAACAATCAAAACTCACTAAAGTATTATAAGGTTGTTAATTTCCCTCCTAGATTATTTTGTTAGAAGCGCCCGGGCGTGAAATGTGATTACCAACATCAGTTTTTACTAAAGACTTCAGCCATAAGCTCTCTGTATGTGCGTGTGTGTGTTCTTCAGTTACTGTATAATTCAGTTGCTTATTAAAGCTTGTTGGCAGTTCGCTTGATGGCCTTGGACAGTGGGTGTGTTTAATTTATTCTTCGCTGCATCCCTGCGAGTGTTTTTATTCTCCCCCTCTGTGTCCTCCCGGCATTATTAAAGACATTAATCACACGGATCTGACGCCTTGTTACGACACAGTCACACACACACACACGCACACACACACGCACACTGTGGGGTAACGTGATGTCAACTCTGCCACAAAGTACATTGTAAAGACAATAAAATAAAATCTGGTGTGAAATAACGAGCTCTAGATCTGCCCGTTTCTCAGATTCCAAATGTTAACATCATATTTTCACAGCTCCAAACCAAGTTTTCCTTTTTTTTTTTATAGAAAAGATATGATTTTATTAGATAATCATTTATTTAACGCACTGTGGGGACTTTCTGTTTTTCTTGACAAGTAAGAAATACCGACTGTAAACATTATAAATAAAGTAAAGATACAATATAAATAGAAGGAAATATACCAAATGACACTTCCTGAGGTCCTGCGAGATCAATCGATCGCCCACTGTTATTCTTCAAACACATAAATTGCACCTTTCTTGAAGTCAACCTAACCTTTTCCTGCCCTTTGCCTCTGACGGAGAAGCCGAAGCGTCCGCGTTGTCATGTCGAGCGGCCTCTCGAGCTTTTTCCTCTTCGCAAATCAGTTTTCGCCCTCCCTGCCTCCGTGTCACACCCTGCAGAGTGGTGGATCCCCGAGGAACAGAGCTGCCAGCGTGCTGACATTGTGTATGAGTGTGTGTGTACATGTGTGCGTGTCCGACAGATATCACCACACTGGACGGCACGCCTGAAAATTGTAACGTGGGATTAAGCTGTAGACGAGAATAGTCTTCAGAAACACTTGAATACACGTCAGTGTGACTGGAACTACCTAAAATTACCAAACTTTGACATTTAAGTTTGGTCCGTGTCCACATCTGCTAACATGGAGGAGGTGGGGTTAATGGCCTATACTGCAGCCAGCCTCCAGGGGGCGACTGAGGTGATTTGTCTTCATTTGACATAGAATAAATAAACGTACGTGGGTGAAAGTGTAGTTGGATCTCAATGATGTCCAGTGAGTTGATTTGTTTTTCTCATTTACGTTGATGTGAGGAGGAGAAACACTCGAAGGAAGTTCTGTTCTCATCTTTCACGATATTTCGTGACACAGGTTTAATTTAACAACCACAACATTTGAGTTTGTGATGTTCTGATGAACCTCATCAACGCTGCATCAGCATTTCCATTATCACACCGACAGTGAGTGGAGAAAAAAACAGGATCTGTGTAACCTGTAAAACCCCTGGCAGCGGTAGCGGAGCGGTCCACCTCATCTCAGGCCAGATCCCATTTCATCTTAACTGCTTGACTAAACTCGTGCCAGGAGCCAAATATGGAAGCACTTCACTTCCACCGCCAACAAAATCAGACTCCTGAGAGACGGCGAAGCTGCTGCTAAGCTGTCCGGTCCAATATACTTACGCAAAGATGAGACCGAGACTTTTTCCCACATTAACATCAAAAGTAGCTTCATTCAGGTAAACCTCGTGGAGAACAGTCGTGTTTCACAGCTCCCATGAAATCCACATCATCTCAAGGGTTTTGTTCTGGTCCAGGTTCAGATTCTCCTGAATATTCATGAAGTTATTTAAAGCGGCATCCGGCCTCGTCTGCTTTTCAGCTAAGTTTCAAGTTTAAGCTTTTGTGGCCTCCAATGAGCGGAAGCGTTCGATTATCAGAATATCAGAATTCATTTTTTCGTGAATGTTGAGTTTTTAGCAGCAAAAACAAAAGCTGAGTGGAATCTCTCGAAACGCTCGATAACTCGATTTAGCGTGTTTGTGTAGAAGGGAAAGAAATATTGTATAAAAATACCAAGTGGTCTTTCTCGAGGGTCGGTCAAGAAAATGTAAAATCCTCTTTCAGTCCGACCTGTCATGAAATATGTTTCTCTCTTTCTTTTCTCAGGTATTCCGTAGAAAGGTGGTGGAGCTGGGTGAAAAGCTGCTGCCAGCCTTCAAAACTCCGACCGGCATCCCCTGGGCCCTGCTCAACCTCAAGACGTAGGACACACACACACACACACACACACACACACACACACACACACACACACACACACACACACAGCAGTGATGGTTTGATTCTATAAAAGAGCTCCTCGGTCTGACGCAACGTCCGCAAACACAGACTCGCTCTCAGTCCCGGCTCTCACACACGGAGCCGAGATGTTTCAGATTCACATGAGAGCAGACTTGTTAGACAGAAGATGTTTGCTTCTTCACTCAGGACCGACTGAATGCCAGCGGCTGGCCCTGAAACTAACTGCTCTTAAAAGACGAAAACACAAAAGCGTCTGCGTTAAGTTCCGAGCGTTTGTTATCGCACTGTGACAAACTGTAAAACTGAGATGAAAATATTAAACCAGTCTGTCCCTTCGCTGACGATCCTCCGTCTCTGATATGAGTCCGTTTGATTGGTGACTTATTTCTTGTGGCGTTGATTCGAACAACAGACTTTAATTTACTGTCACTTTGGATCAAAGTGCTAAATTATGAACTGTCTATATCATAAAAGCTGTGGAGTCAGATGGTGAGAAATACAAGTGATGTCCTGTCATCGTTCGCCATCATCAGCATCATTTGAATTAATTTGAGTACGTTATTTAACAGCTCATTAACCTTTCGTCGACTTTTTATCAACAGATGATGAGAAAAGCGAAACAACTCGTAACTTGTCAGTTGTACGACCAAGAAAAGCTGCAAACTAGAAAAGTTTTCTTCATTTTGAGACACAGATAAACTCATTGATTCTCAGTCTGTTGTTTAAACATTACTACAGCGATGTTTTGTATTTTCAGGACGTCGTGTAGAGAAATGAAAGTATCTGTTCGCTGAGAGGAAACTTTAAGAGCCCTCAGAGGTCCTCCACCGTGTCACCCTCCAGTCCCCCCGTCAGTCATCCATTAAGGGTTGGGTGTGTGTGTGGGTGTGTGTGTGGGGGGGGGGGGCACACTTTTATTTCCCTAATTTTCTTTATATCTTGCTCCCCCCAGAGACACACCGCTCCGCTGTTTGTCTGCCGTTAATTAAAAGGCAGGTTGTCATGACGATAAACATGCTGTAACAAATTAATTTTCCTTCCGACTCTGCACCCCCCAAACCCCCCCCCCCCCCCCCACCTCCCCCACTCGTGTCCTCTTCGCTGGGTGTGTGTGTGTGTGATCCCCTTAAGGCCTGAGCAGATTGGTGATGATGACTTTACCTGCATGACTGAGCTATGATGGCCTCACACACACCCTCACACACACACACACACTCTCACACACACACACACACGTCTTTGCATCATTGCATGAAAACCACTTCATTGCTCGGAGACAGACAGAATTAATTGCCGCGCTGTTGCTGAGTAAAAATTGTCGTATTTTCGGTTAAATCAAATAAATGGAGAAGTCAGAAACCGAGTGCTCGGTGGAGCGACCGCGGAGTGTGAACACGTTGATTCCCTGCGTGCAGGTTAGACACAGAGAGTTTGTATAAGTTAGCTGAGAGGAAACATCAGTGGAGCGTTTCTGAAGCTGTGAGACTTCCAGCGTAACCTTGACCCACATTGAAACGGCATCAATCAGTAAAACACACACACACATGCACACGAGGCCCAATTATTATCTTTCCCCTCATCACTGCTTCCCCTCCTTCTTCCTCTTTTCTTCCCGATTCCCTTCGTTTTCTTTTACTTTATTCCCACAACCCGCTCCTCCGTACTCCCTTTCCGTCCTTCCGTCCTCCATCCATCATCCCTTGATTGACCCAGTATCTCCTTCTGATTCAGGACATCATCCTGCAGGTCCACTCCATGGCCTTGTTCTCTTTATTCCCTCTCTGCAGTTTTTTTTTTTTTTTTCATCACTCTAGCCTGCAGCCATCGACACAGCCCGAGAGCGGCGTCGGGAAACGAGGACACGGTTTAAACCGTGTCACTGCGTCTTCACCGACTCAACCTTGTTTGCTCGCTTGCTCCGTTTTCATTTTAGAGAACGAGATAAATGTCATTTCTTCACTCCGGTGATGCCGGAGCTGCCGAAGGTCTCGGTTCACATTTACATATTTGTCGAGAGAGAAGTCAACGAGTCCAACAAGTTAAGCAAATGGAGTTCGTTTTGTAACTGACTGATCGTCCATGTAAGAGCATCAACAAACCAAACAACAGAGGAACCTGTAGGGTTGTTGAAAGTCTTATTTATCTGTAGGAAACTGTCTTCACCCGTCCGCTTCATTTACGTTCCAAAGACGCTTTAAAAGGCCTCAACTAAATAAATCAGGGACACATTTAAAGAATCTTGCGCTCGATTGTCCCTTCGTCTGTTTTCCTCCTCTCTCGCCGCTTCCATCTCTTTGTGTTTAATCCCGTTGATTGCCACTAACTGAGCGGAAAATGCCGCTAAGATCTGATTCGCTCCAAATGTGGTGGCACTGCAGCCGAGTGGATGGAGGAACTTTTTGATTATTTGAGTTAAAGGATAACAGAGGCACCGAACTGCAGCTCTGGGAGGTTTGAGTGTTGCGTTCCAGGGAAACGTTCAGGAAACTGAACACGATTTAAACGTTTGGATAAAGCATTTTAAACCTTAAAATGAATAAACAAATAACTGGAACATGAGCTATATCTATATTTTCACGTATCTGTGGCTTCATCCAAATTTAAGATGATGTGATTCAACAGGGGAAGCTTTGTTCAACTGTGTCTTTCTCACTTTTATACACACACACACACACACACACACACACACACACACACACATAGACACACACTCAAACTAGTCACCCAGTCGTTATCAGCTTAGGCCAGTATGTCCCATAGCTCTGCTATTAACATTCAGACTGATAAAGCTCTTGCAAATCACTCCCTCTGCACTGCATACTGACTGGCCTTAATGGGATGAGGGTATGTGTGTGTGTGGTGAGTGTGTGTGGTGTGTGTGTGTGTGTCTTATGCACACATCAAATTTCTTCTTTCGTAATTGGAAATAGGGAAAACACTCAAAATTTCAATTTGCTAACACCTTGCTGAGATATTTACTCAAAACAACAAAAAGGAAAATAACTCATTTGGAATGTGAAGTCCTAAATTTCAATCAGATGTGTATTAGCGTACTTTTCATTGTTCTTTCATATAGAGACTTTTTCTCAAAGCTCTCCGAGAGGATTTTATTCACCACACTCATACATCAGCCGTCCCACAGCTGCCATTACAGAAACCACAATCTCAAAGAGAACATCTGCTCCTCAGCCAAACTGCTGCTGAAGGTATTTTCATTTTCTTAATGGTGCTGCAAAGTCTCAGCCAGAATTTTTTGCCCCCGCTCTCTTTTCTTATCTCACAGAAGAAAATGTAAAAAAAAAAACATAAAATGAAAAAAGCCACCTTATGGCACATTTGCTCGTTCAGCTTCAGACCTCGAGGCCAAAACAATAACGTCTGAGCTCCTCAGTTCTTGTAGTTTGATTTATAGGCCTGGATGGAGACCGGCTCCATTCGCCGCACACCCGCCACTCTGTCAGCGAGCCGGGCTTCTGTAGATGTGAGAGGAACCTGAACCCGTATAAAACTCTCTGCTTCTGAAACAGTGTCAACCTCCGAGGGGGCAAGCTCGTGTTTTTGTTTGGAAAGAAACGTCAGAATCAGGTCTGTGGTGCTGAACGTTTAACTTCTGTATCAGAGAACAGGGTTTCATCCGCAAAGCAGCAGCAGCAGCAGAAGAAAATATAGAAGAGATTTAAAGAACTAGAGTAGACGTGGTTTGTGTTTCTCTTATTTCATTCAGCCTGTGTTGACAGATTTCTGTCCTGACTCAGATGTGGTCGAGGGTTGTTGTCATTCAACATCTCCAACTATTGGAAAACTGATCATTTGAGTCATTTCCGAGGACAAATGTTAAATATTGAATTGTTTCAGGTTTTAAACTGTGTCTGCTGCATGTTTCCAGCTGTAATGATGTTGGTCTTTTCATCACTGCAGCCGTGTCCCAGCAAACGAGTCGCAGACTCTGTCACCTCAACAAACATCTCATCAATTTCTCCTGTAAAGCAAAAACAACTGCATCCAGCCTCCACATTTCCTCGACAGTTACTTTTACCATTAATAGCTACATGCGTGTTGCATTTGACCGCACCGTGACCTGACAGGCATGTTCTTACCATGACCACATATACAGTATATCATGCATCTCCTGTGTATACATATATAAATACACACAGGAGATGCACAATCATGCTTTTGTTGGTGACACAGTCTCGTTGCCCTGCGGCTTTTTTTTAACAACAAGGAAAAGTTGGGCATCCAAAGATTTAGAAAAAAAAAAAAGAAGCCGACTCATAAATGCACACACTCAGTGCAGCGCTCCTCCGCAGTAACCTAAGGCAGCGGAAGGCACTCGTGATTTAAGGCCTCTAATTAAGTTGCTAACTGCGACTCTATTGCGATTCACATTTTCTTTGTGCCTGGAGGAGAAGCACGATAGATTTTCAGACAGAGAGGAAGAGATATTGAGGCAGAGCGAGGTCACAGTCTGGATGAGGAGGAGGAGGAGGAGGACGGTGAAGTGGCCGGGAACAAAAACACACACACACAAAAAAAAAAAAAGGAGAATTGAGCCAAATTATAGGTTTTATCCGACCGCTGAGCACAAATGAATCGGGGGGGTGCTTCCTAACATCACACCAGACGAGCGTGAGAGGGCACGTTCTTGTGACATGCTAATTTATGGAGATGGCGTGCCTGCTCTGTTTTTTTGTTGCTTGGCACAGCAGAATTCGAATCCCTGATGTTGGCTCTGCAGAATCGACTGGTGACTGAAAAACTACCGAGCTACAGTTTGTAATTTCAGAGCTGGCCGAGACACGGCCTTATAGGGGCGAGAGATTTAATAATAAAAAATAAAAAAAGAAAGGGAGCGCTCCCGAAAGGATGAACAGAATCGACCAGACAACAAAAGGAAAGTGGAGTGTGTCCTCTAAACTAAACAGCAGGTAGCATCAATCTGTAACGACCCACTTCTTTTTCTGGGTCCAGGCTGTGGATCCATGTTTGTTGCTCGGACACAACGAGCCGGTGGGTTTTTTCGGTTTCTCGTCCTGAAAGCAGGACAACAGGACGTGGAGCAAATGCTTAATTATCTCGATGAATATTTCTACGATTAGAAATAGAGGAGAGGCTGTGTGAGAGGACACAGATGTCTGAGTGAGCTGCACAAAGCTGGACAAATAAAAAAATATCTGAGGATGAAGACGAGGAGCCACAGAAGAAGAAGACTCTAGAGCTTTTGGTGTCGGTGTCAATCAGCTGTGAAGAAAACAGTTTCTAGGAATCTGCAGTCCACATACTTGTGTTTGTGTATATAAACTAAAAGTCCCTCTTTGACCTTCGGACAGGAAGTCGTCCGGTCCCCCGGTATTCTGTGATAACCTGCAATATTCAAAAACAAACTTTTAATTCCATCAGCGCGGTGAAAGTTGATGAAACGTGAGCCGAGCGCGCTAATCAGAGTCTGCTGGGCGTCGAGTCCTATCAGTCAAACGAAGTGCATCGTATCACTGCTGTCAGAGGTGGACGACGGCGGCTCATCCCCTGATTTGTGATGAAAGTTCAACACGAGCTTTGATACGTCAGTGTAAGCCAAACGTAATCTCTGAAAAGTCCCCCTGTTCTAGGTCACCGTGAATTTTTAATTAAGGTTTCCTGTCGAGTTTGCAAACAGAATCACTCTGTGTGGGGTTTTTTTTAGTTTAATTACTTCTGTTTGGTTTTAAGCATTTTTTCTTTTTTCTTTCATCAGCAGAATATTTCATGGAACCCGCTCTTTATTCGGCTTTTAGCACAAATCTTTAGACCCAGTAATTGATGTGAAAGCCAACTGAGGTCAGGAGAAAATACATAACAGGAGGAATCCTTCCGTCTCGCTGTAGATTCTTGAGACGAGCGCCAGAGCGAGGCCGAGCTCGGTTGTGTAATGTTTGTGCAGCGTTGCAGCGCAGACGAGGTCATAAACTAAACTTTCTTTTATAGCTCTCGGTCTGTAACAAGTCTCATTGCGTCCCGTGTGAAAGAGCTGGATTTAGAGCGTGCTGGATGTCGAGGGTGGAAACTCTTGAAACTGGGCCACGGGGACGTTTGCATCACTGGTCAAACACAACAGCGGACTGTATTAGTTCTAATACAGCTGTGTGGCGCCGCGGGCCTGTTGATGTATTCCACTTCCAGTACTCTCTCTTGTTCCTGGTCTCCAACACCAGACTTTTCATTTGAACCAGTCGATGTAGAGTTTAATGAGTCAACAGTCTCCGTGGTGCGTTTGTTTCTGCCACGTTCATTTCGCTTCAGAGACGTCATCTGGACCCGTGCAGTCATCTGCTGCAGCTCACTCCGTGTTTGTTTGTTGGCACTTTTAATAGAATACACACATTTCTGCTTCTGCTCGACTTCTCCTCGACTTTAATCGAGAGCGCTGACGAATCTGCGTTATTTATTCTTTCTAAAAGTTGCGTAATGTTGCTCAGTGTTTTTAAATTTCATCTGTGGTCAAACGAGCCTGCTGCCTTTGACAGGTCTTTTCTCTTTCATTTTTAATTAAACTCCAGGCAGCGCTACACATATTTAAACGTCTTTCACACACCCTGCTTCGTACACACCCTCAGCTCTCTCTCTCCAGTACTTTACTGTATTTCTGCACTTCATTGCTTTGTGTCTCTTTTATTTTACTCGGCAGCTTTTCTTCTCTCGCTGTCTTTTGTTTTGTTCTCCTTAACAGGGATGTAGTGTTTCTCACAGCGGGGCTTTGGGATGCATTTGAGATGGACAGGGGTGAAATGGAAAGGTGTGTGTGTGTGTTTCTCTCCCCGCCTACCAGGAGAGGAGATTTGTCGTTCATCACGGGGGGGGGGGTTAGGAAGGGATTGAAAAAGACGGATAGACAGATCGAGCTCACAGTTAGCTGGAGGGGAGGAGGAGGCAAAGGTAGAGATGAAGAAATGATGCTTTTTCAACTACGTTCTGCTTGTAATTGTCGGATTTAACGTCATGTCGTCTTGTCTGCGTCCGTCCAAAGCAAACAAACGCTCGGCTCTGAATTCACTCATGGTGTGTGTGAGTGTGAGTGTGTGTGTGTGTGTGTGTTGTGTGTGTGTGTGTTTCTGCTGCAGTGGTCCTGCTTGTGTTCGGGTGAGTTGATTAAATCCATGGTGTAATGGGAAACAAATTATGGCTTGTGCAGCATGATGAGTTGAAGGGGGATAATTAGTATGTTCATCCACCTCTTTGAAGAGGTGTGTGTCTGTGTCTGTGTGTGTGTGTGTGTTTGTGTGTGTTTTTGTGTGTGTGTGTGTGTGTGTGTGTGTGCGTAGTGCCGTTTATGTCCCCATTTACTTATTGCTCTGCAGACGCCCCGCTGTGTATTTCACGGTGCAGTGAAATGTTATTCATGATTAGTTACTTGAGGCGTCGCCACCAGAGTCATCAGCTCTTGATCTGTCAGTGGCTCTAATCATCCAACACACACACACACACACACACACACACACACACACACACACATGCATCCAGATCATAGACTTCACAGAAACATGGATGCAGACTCTGGAAACATGAAGCTAACGGAGAAGTGCCTTGATTAAGTTACAAGAATCTCGTGTGATGACAGCAACAGTTGACAACAATGACTTCCAGGTGAACGGCGGCAGAGCGGACGTCGTCTTCGTGATTTAAAGTTTCGGCTTCTGAGTCCCTGAGAAAACGACTTTTCTAACACGACTCACTCGGCGTTCTTGTCTTTTTGTCCACAGACCTCGTGGTTGTAATTGAGGATGAATGCAAAGTGTGTGTGAAAAGTTAAAACATGTTAACGGAGGCGGCTCCACTCACAGAACATGTCAAACACCGTGACGTCTTTCAAATGCTCTCTCTGTTACACGTGACCCGGCGTTTGTTCTGGTTGTTCTTTTTGATTAACAGACGCCTCCATCTCTTCCTCTCTTCTTCTTTCTGCAGTGGTATAGGTAGAAACTGGCCGTGGGCTTCTGGCGGCAGCAGCATTCTGGCAGAGTACGGCACCCTGCACCTGGAGTTCATGCACCTCGGCCAGCTCTCTGGAAATCCTGAGTTTGCTCAGAAGGTAACAGAAACGCAGGATTTCCTCTTTTACTCCTGCAGAATTTAAAGATTTCTCGATTAAAATTCCCCCGTGTTTGCCTTTTACTTCCACCGTTTCTTCTTCTCATCAGGTAATGAACATCCGGAAAGTTCTCAACCGCCTGGACAAGCCTCAGGGGCTGTACCCCAACTACCTGAACCCCAACAGTGGCCAGTGGGGCCAACGTAAGTCCGCACCGTCTGCTGCTTTCTCTGCACATGTGAACATCTAACATATCGTGGCTCTTCAGGAGGACCACTGTCCTGTCGACCGAGATTCTTCTAAGATCCTCCACAAAAACACACAAACAGCAGGTTCATCTCAGCCTCTTCTCTCCAGATTTACGTTGTCCATGTGTTTTTGGGGAAGCTCCTCACAGCTCCATTTAATGCAAAGGA